GGAGGGGCTGGGCTAAAGGCCGTGGGCAGGGGGTGTTGTCCACCAGGGTGAGAGGGCCTTGAAGGGCGCCTCCTTGTCGTCAGGATGGGGCATTGCACACGGCAAAAGGCCGCTCCCTGCACCTGGGGCCCAGCTTTTCCAATTCTGCTCCAGCTCCCGGAAGCCATCTTGGTGGGACAGTGAGTTTCCAGTCCAGGGGTAGAGACTATACGGGAAGGCAAGAGTGATGGGGTGCTCCCAGAGGCCCCTCTTTGGGTCCAGAGGGCGGGCTGGGGGATCCCCAAGGTCTCCCCGGGCTCTCTAGCCGCTTCAGGAAGACTCCCTGGGGAATGAGGGTGACCTCGGCCTCTGGTCTCCAGCTGGAGGATCCTGTGAATCCTCTAGAAAAACTAGACATCGATTGTGCTTGACTCCCCCCAATGAGACACCGTGAGCTGGGGATAGTCAGGGTTTTATAAGATCAGAGGGAGGAGGCAGAGTCCTTGGGGAGCACGGCCTGGGGACCAGATCTCTCCCTGTGGTTTCAGGCCTGTCCTCACACCCGTCACACCCGTCACTCTAAACTAGTTGGCCCTTCCCAGAAGTCACCTGGTGTTTCTGCCTCTGCAGTCTCTCCCACCCCCACTCCTACCCACAGGAGTGCTTTCCTATTCATCCTGCATAGCCCGGATGCTGCCTCTTCCAGGAAGGCTTCCAGGACTCCCAGATTGAGAGAGTGCTCTCCTCCAAGTTCCTGCAGGGGCACGCTGTCTGCCCATCAGCGTTCTCATGTTGACTCACAACCTCTTCCCAAGGAACCCCCCATGGTCAGGTATCAGGTCTCCTCTATCTCTACATACCTGATTCTTGGCCTCATGCCTGACACAGAATCCACGCCAGTGACGCTTGAGGAATGGACACCACACACAGGGAGAAGCTGGAATGGCACCACACACAGGGAGAGGGCTGGGGCAGAGGCCAAGGCCGCCATGCAGGTGCAAGCTACCCTCAACACCTCTCACCCCGCCTGACTGGTGACAGGCCCACAGTTTCGCCTTGTCTCTGAAGCATCTCAAGGCAGGAGCCACACACCTTTGGTCCCTGCTGGCCTCCTCTCCCTGGCAGGAGGACTGCCCCTCACCTGTCCTGAGAGCTCGCCCAGATCGGGGGACCAGGTGGGAGAATCTCACAAGCAGGTGGAGGACACGGGATAGGGAGGAGCCAGGCATGTGGGGGACAGATGGCTGGCAGATGGCCCTGGGACCCCAAAGCTGACTGGTGAGAGCAGGGCTTCAAGGATCCTCAAGTCTGTGTCCTCTCCCCAAAGCTCCCTGGGTCCTGAAGCCTAGAGCGAGGCAGCTTCCACCTTGCCTGACCAGGGCAGAGGCCAAAGCAGTGTGCCCACTTTCCAGATGGGAGTATTAAGGCACTAGGGAGCCAGGCATCTCACCCCCACACATGGGTCAGAGGATCCACGGTCTCTGCTACCACAGGCAGATGAGTTAGTATAGGTGGCATGTGAGGGGTATGTGTGACCCAGGTAGTGTGGGGGACCCAGGTTGGGGAGTCAGAGAGCTGTGCTGCAAAGGCTGACAGGCAGATGTCCCTGGAGTCCGTTCCTCCACACAAGGTGGCGGAGGGCTTCATTGAGAATGACACTGTTAACTGCTGATTGGGGTCTGATAACAGAGGCTAGTGCTCTGGGTACCTCTGAGCCTCAACTTCTTTGAGGTCCCCCGAATCACCCTCGCTTAACCTTCAGGGCTGCTCTGGCCCCTCCCCAGCACCCCCAGCCTTGCCCGATGTGTGCAAAGCACCCTGACACCCTCCCCTCCTTACCAGCTCACAGCCACTACCCCCACCCTGACTCTTGTTGCATCTCACTCAGACACAGCAGAAGCCTCTCATCGGGTCCGCAGCCTCATCTGTCCTCCAAGGCGCCAACGCCTGCAGTCTCGCTCTGACCATGCCGCTCCATGCTCAGAATCTTCAGTGGCTCCCCGTTGCTTGTCTGATTCACTCCAGATCCCTTAGCTTGGCTTTCAGAACCCTCTTTGCTTGGGTCTCAACTCAACCTTCATTGCTCTCTGTGGTGTCCCCTGTGCTCCCAGGCCCAAGACCTATTCCCTCTCCTGGAAAGCCAGCCCTTCCTGCTGCTTCCCAGACTCTCACCCATCCATCCAGGCCCTGGTCCTAGCTCCCTCCCCTTCTGAGCACTCCCAGGATGGAAATGCCTCAAAGACAGAGTCTTGTCATCGTCATCTGTGTCGTCACCATCTTCTTCTTTCTTTTCTGCTGCCCAGGCTGGAGTGCAGTGGCACGATCATGGCTCACTGCAGTCTTGACCTGCTGGGTTCAAGCAATCCTTCTGCCTCAGTCACCCAAAAAGCTGGGACGACAGGCGCATGCCATCACACCTGGCTTTTTTATTTATTCATTTTTGCTATGTTGCCCAGGCTGGTTTCAAACTCCTGGGCTCAAGCGATCCTCCCGCCTTGGCCTCCCAAAGTGCTGGGATTACAGCCGTGTCTCATCTGTTTTCTAGCCCAACAAAGTACACAGCCCAGAGCTTGGTCTAGCCGGGGACCGAGAGCTGTGAGACAAGCAGAGAAACATTCTGTGCATTCATCCAGTCAGCATTCATTGAGGACCTACTGTGTGCCTGGTTTACAATGGTGACCAAGGCCAGTGTGGTGTCTGCCCTGTGGAGTGTAGACAGCACATTGCAATGGTGACCAAGGCCGGTGCGCTGTCTGCCCTGTGGAGCGTAGACAGCACATGTTCTAGAATGTGCTGAGGATTAGCCGCAGCACCATCTGCCTGGCTCCTGCAGCCCGGTGAGGCTGCCTGCTGGTTGCCTGTGTCCAGGGAACGCGTCCCATCACGGAACTAGGCCGGGGGTTCTGTGACAGCTCTTGGCAGGGCTGTCCTCCTTCAGCACAGGCCTGGGTCAGAGGCCACACCCACTCACCTGCTCAGGGCCACTCCCTGCAGGGCTCCACGCCCCCATGGCTGTCCCTAGGACTGGGCAGCTCTGGTCTCCAGATGTCATAGGGACTGAGCAGCAGGGCCTGGCTGGGCTGGAGGGGGGAGGGACTCTCTTCTGCATTGTCTTCATTCCCCTCATGTGGGGAGGAGAAGGAGTGAAGGAGGAGGAGGGAGAGGGAAGACATTCCCCCCCTGGTCCCATGGGCCACAGAGCCCCGCACTGCAGACCCGCTACCGGCAGGGATGATATCCACACACTGAGTCCTGCACAGCACAAGGGACACCGGCTGGGGGCTACAGTAGGGCCCCGTAAGACCCCTTCGAGTTGCTGCATTGTGGAGTGAGCAGGACCCCCGGAGAGGAGCAGGGGTGGCTGCTCAGGAAATCTGGGCCATGGTTATTCACCAACTGGAACAGAGCTACTCTTGGTGCTTATTTCAAATGTTTGAACAGCTAGTGAGACTGCAGTGCGCACTGCAGCCTGGACCCACAGGATACCAACTCCAGCTAAAACCACATGTTTTATTGATGTTCTTCATGGACAATGCAGGACCAGGTGTACAAGTGCTGCTCATGCCCCACACCTGGCAGCCTTCCCCACCCCCTGCCCCATAAGCCCCACGGGCCAGTCTTTGAGCAGCCGGCCCCCTGCAGGTCTCCCTGTTGCCCCCTCCCCACGCCAGCCTCCGGGAGGCAGGAAACGGCAGGGCTGGCCTCCAGGCTTGAGCTCTGAGGTCAGAAGAGAGCCAAGGCTGAACGGCTCAGCTCTTCTTTCCTCCCTGTGCCCCTCCCACTGCTTAAGTAGGGCCAGGCTTAGGGGTGGGGATGCCCTCCGTGACCCCTCCATTGGCAGCCTAGGCTCCCTGTCAGCCCTCTCTACCCCATGCTTCTCCTCCAAGTAACCTGTTCTGCTGACCACAAGATGGCAGAGTGGCCATTTTGGGGGGGGGCGGTGAATCAGTGCACTGGCGGTAGAGAAGGTGGCCCTGATAGCAGGGATCTCATCATCATCCTGTTCACCACTGCATTGCCAGTGCCTGGAAGAGGCTGGGAATGGAAGTTGGCACTCAATAAATATACGTAGGATGGTGAAGAATGAATGAATGAATGAATATGGGAGGGAGAAGTATGAGCAGGTCAAGCCATGATGACATCATCTCTCTAGGGGGTATGAAGACAAGACCAGGGTACAGTCCTCGGCCCAGGAACTCAGGTGCTGCCTCTGTCACTGGTGTCACTGTGGCCAGCCGCTGGACATTGCAGGTGAGGATTCTGCTGCCCACGTGCATGTCTCATTGGCTTTGGGAGCAGTCAGGAGGGGGCACGTGCTGTCCCCACCCCCTCATGTGCCCCAGGGGTCCGATCCTGGGGATCTCAGAACCCACAGCAGCACCCCAGCCCAGAGCCTGCCAGACCAGCAGGAGGGTCTGGGAGCTGCCCCCTGACCTTCTGGTCATCCCCATCCCCTAGCCTCAACTTCCCTGATGTTGCCCCTGAAAGCTGAGCATGACCTCTGGGCTCTTCCTTCCGCACCACTGCCCCCACCTGACCCCGACACGGCCTCCTCTCCCTGTCCTCAAATGCCAGCCCCTCAGCCACCCAGGTGGTCCTGTCTCTCCAGAGACTCTCTCTCCAGTGGCTGGGTTGGGTCCCAAAAGTTTGCATGGTGATTTTCAGACCCCTACGTGCCCAACCTCCCCTCCATGAAAGCAAGTAACTCACAGGTGTCTCTGTGGACCTTTCCTCTGAGCCCAGCCATCACACAGGGGGCACCAGAAGTCGCCGCGGAAAGCCACCTCTCCGCTGATCTAGAAGGCCCCTATGCAGATGACTGCAGACCTGCTGTAATGCCCCCAGTGATGGAGCACTCACGACCTCCCTGGGTAGCCATTCAAACACTGAACAGCTTCAGCTTCTAGAGTGTTCTTCATACAGAACACAAAGGGGCCCACTTGTCCATCTCACTTCTCCTCCCCAGGCCCTCTTCTCTGTTTCTAATGCTCCTCACCAGCACTCAACTCTCTGTCTCTCTGTCTCTGTCTCTCTCTCTCTCTCTGTGACTCTCTGTCTCTCTGTCTCTCTGTGTCTGTCTCTCTCTCTCTCTCTCACACACACACACTCACACACAGACACACACGCCTGTCCCTTTCCATATAGTCACACAGTCACATGCTCCCTCATCCATCGGTACCTCGCCTTTCTCTCTCCTTACCCTCTCGCATCTGGCAAAGACCTGGAGGCCGGCGGCCAAAGGAAAGGCGGGAAGGTGCCAGGGAGGAGAAGTGGATGGCACCCAGCCAGGTCCTGGGCTGGGCTGGCCGGCTGGGGCAGGGTGGACAGGGAGCAGCAGCTGGAAACAGCAGGCCATGGCTGCTGCCTCCCAGGGAGGGGTCCTTGACCCTGGGGGGGTGGCAGCCAGGTCCTGGGTTCCCTTCCCCACAGAGGGGATCAGAGCGCCCCCCCCCCCAGTTTCCCAGGCAGTGGGCAGGGCTGACCTGGCCACCCCTCACACGTGGAGATTTTCCACACTCTCCAGCCTCCAGGTCTCAGGGACTCTCAAACCAGCAGCAAGAAGCCACTCCCCACTCTCAACTTGGGGTGAGCAGAAGCTTCCAGCACACAGCAGTGGTGACATGAGACACGGGGGCAGGGAATGAACCAGGCAGGGAGAAGCAGGGCGCCTGAGGAGAAGACACGGAAGCAGAGGCAGCTACCAGGGGCGCCTGGGCGGCTCTTCTCCCATCGTGACCCACCAGCCCCCGCTGCTCTCGACGGGTCGAGGACCGGGGAGGAGGCTAGGACCTTACCGGCGCGCGTTGTCGCGGGAATGGGGAGACAAGGGTGCCTGGTCTGTGGGCGTTCTGCTACTTGTCCCACGGCTTGGCGCTCTCGCTGCCGACATTGAACATGGGGACCAGCAGCCCCAGCAGCCACCTCTTTCCGAAGACCTCCTGCAGGTTCTTGCGCCAGGGCCGGGCCCGCACGGCCACCCCCTTCCGCGCCTGGTGGCGAGTCTGCCCCCGGAGAATCAACAGCAGCTGGTGGCAGCAGAAGCCGGCGCAGGCCAGGCCGATGGCCAACCAGAGGTAGAGCATCAGGATGACGAACATCTCAGAACCCAGGACAGCTCCTGCGGGGGGAGGGGACACGCGGTTACACCCCGGCCGCGTCCGCCCGGCGGGGAGGGGGAGGCCGGCGAGGGAGGCTGGCGCTGCGTCTCGCCGCCGTCTCGGCTGCTGCGGGGGGAGCACGGTGAGCGGCCGCCCTAACTTTTCCCTCGTGCCCACGGCTCCTGCGGCGAGCCGGGAGGCAGGGGGACCCGTCCAAGCAGGAAGGAGGCTCGAGGGGCTCAGCGGGAGAGCCCGGAGCTGGGTGGGGGAGGCCTGCCTGTCTCGGCCTCCTCTTTCCGGGCTGGAGGCAGGGCAAGGGCTGTTCTCAGGAGGAGAGAGGGGTCAGCCGAGGACCGAAAGAGGGGGCTAGACTGCAGCACCTTCTCCCCACCCAGCTGGGAGCACCAGCGGAGAGGACTCGAGAAAGTGTCAAGATGATGGAGAGCCAGGCCTAGTCATCAAGAAGTCACGAGTGGAGTCTCCAGGGCAGAGCAGAGCGCGGACGTAGAGAATTATTCCGTCATTAATGTTAACAAGAGGACAGTGTGGCCGCCAGCACAAAGCTTGCTGAGGCTGGAGGAGGCCCCCAAGGTCATCAGCTCAAACCCTGCTGTGACCTGGGACCTCCCCTAAGCCCTCTAAACCGAGCAGCTCCTGTCACTGGTTTTTAACAGCCATGGAGAGACAGCTCCCCTTTTCTTCCTCAGGTTTGGGCGCTTGGTTTATGCTGGGTTTGAATCTCCCAGCTGTGCGGACTTGTACGAGCTCCCTAACCTCTCCTAACTGCAGTTTGCTCATCTGTAAAATGGGCGTAATAATCATGATTTCGTGGGGTTGCAGGATTCAAGGAAATGGTGTATGGGGTGGCCGGAGTCTGGTTCGCCCTCATGCTGTGCTCCCTGGGGTCATTTTACAGATGAGGAGAGGACACCTGAAAAGCATTCAAGTTTAACTCCCCAAGCCCTCAAGCTTTTACTTTCTCCATTCCAGGGCTTGGGAAATCCTTTCCAGGACCTTCCAGCGTCCTGGCTGTGCTGCAACTTCGGCAGCCATGGAAAAGACACTTGACCTGTCCAGCAGCCAGGGCAGCGGGCCCAAGAGAGAGCTCGCAAGCCCCGGCAGCCCTGCACTCCCTGGAAGGCAACCCCACCATCAACCCCTCCAGTGGGGTGTGGGGGCCTGCCCCAGGGATCCCCGCCTCAGGACCCTTCCTCACCCTGAATATCTCAACCTAATTCCACCCTTCCCCAGCTTCCTCCCACTCAGCCCACCTCTTCCCTGGTCTCCCCACTGTCCAGACCCCTGGGGACTGGGCTTTCAAAACCCAGCCAGTGCTGCGCTTGGTGGCTCAGTCTGTAATCCCGTGCTTTGGGAGGCTGAGGTGAGTGGATTTGCCTGAGCCCGCGGGTTCGAGAGCCGCCTGGGTAACTTGGCGAGACCTCATCTCTACAATAAATCAAAAAATTAGCCGGGCATGGTAGAGCGCACCTGTAGTTCCAGCTACTTGGAAGGTTGAGGCGGAAGGATCAACGGAGCCCAGCAGGTTGAGGCTGCGGTGGCCGGGAGCGCCCCCACACTCCAGTCTGGACAACAGAGTGAGACTCCAACTCAAAACAAAAAACAAACAAAAAAAACCCCACCCAGTCTGAGCAGAGTGAACTTGGTGGCCAGGGAGGATGTGGTTGGCTTCAGGGTTGCTGGCTGGTGGCCTCCCCTCATCATCCCCAGGAGCTTTGGAGGCAGGTTGTTTGTTTGTTTGTTTGTTTGTTGCAAAGTTGGAGACAGCTGCCCAGGGGACAGAAGGCTGGCTTCAACTGCCACTTAGACTCCCTCTGCCGGCACAGGGGCAGCTGCAGGGCCAGGCTCAAGTTGGGCTGTGCCATCCCCTGACCCCCTTCTCCCTTGTCAGCACAGATTAGCTGAGGCAGCCATGTGCGGGATGGAGGATCCCGGGACCATGGTGCCTTGTGGCGTGAGGGATGCTGACAGGCCATCGCTGCCCTCCAACTGGGACGTGGGAACATCGGAGCTGTCAAGTTCAGCCTGCCTGGCGACACCGCCGGAGGGCCAGCTTGGTGGACGGAAGCTGTTTCCCACAGGGTTTTTTTCTGGAACTAAATCAAGGCATGAGGAAAAGAACTTGTGGCCTTTTCCTGGCCCCATGCAGCCGCTAAAAGGGCTATTCTGGGGACCTGCTTTCTCTGGAAGTGTTTGAAGTCACCTAACCAGGCTGCTTCAGCCCCTCTTAACTATTTTATAATGGTTCTGCTTTTTTTTTTTTTTAGATCAAAGAATTTTCCTAAAGGGTATGAACAGTCACATCAACCAATCTCCCCTTCCCCTGCTTCCCACTGCCAAGCATCTATAACAGCTTTGACAGATCAGTCAGCATCTTCTTGAATGCACCCAGGAAAGAGGCTCCCTCCTTTCCTCTGGGCTGGGAGGCAGTGGAGAGAATGAGCCTTGGAGGCCAGCAGCCCTGAGTCTGGATCTCGGGCTGGAGTCTCACCAGCTGTGTGGCACTGATGCAACTTAACCTTGCCAAACCGTTGACTCCTGAGCCCACTCCCCACCCTCTTGAGGTGGGATCTCTCTCTGTCACCCAGGCTGGAGTGCAGTGGCACGATCACGGTTCACCGAAGCCTCCACCTTTGGGCTTAGGTGCTCCTTCCGCCTCAGCTTCCCTCGTAGCTGGGTCTTCAAGCACGCTCCACAATGCCCAGCTAACTTTTCATTTTTTAATTTTATAGCGATAAGGTCTCACTATGTAGCCCAGGCTGGTTTCGAACTCCTGGGCTCAAGCAATCCTCCTGCCTCCACCTTCCAAAGTGCCGGGTAATAGGCATGAACCTCCACACCTGGCCATCCTGAGTCCTTAACATGGAGATGATAATACTTGCCTCACAGACTTGTCATGAGGTTGGATGAAATGAGACATGAGCCAGGGGCACATAATCACTGATCAATGAAGGGTAGTCCCTTTGCCCTCTACTGGATGTCCTGGGGGCACCTACCATGCTGCTGTCCCCTTCCCAAATGCCAGGGTGCAAGGCAGATGGTGGCATCTCCATTTCCCAGCTAAGAATAAGGTACAGAGAGGTGACACACCCAAAGCCCAAAGAAAGGACACCTAAAACTTAACTCGCTAGTCCCCTCCCTCTTTGGCATCAGCTACAGGCCTGTGGTTGACAGCCACTTTCATTTTAAGGAGACCCGTCCTGCTTTTAGCTCTCAGGGCCCCGCTCCCAGCCATCCCAGGCTCTGGTGGCAGATGTGACTCAGAGCTGGGGATAGCTCGACTTCTAGGAAGCAACTCACCCCTACTTACTCTCCCCTGCCCACCTGTCCCCCGAGTGGCCGAGAGAGGATGGGCTCTCACCATGTGGACCAGGAATCAGGGAGGAAGAGAGGGGAAGGGTGAGCCACAGCCACGGAGGGAGAGGAGGCGGGAGAGCTGGGGAGAAGAAATCTTGGCCTCCTTTTCCCCTGGGTATGGAGAGGAGGTGAAAGACAGCGGAGCTTATCCTCCTGCTGGAATAGGGGTCTGGGCCCCCCAGGTGGGCACCGACGGGCTCTGTTCTCTCATCAGATCCAACCTAGCAGATAGGAAGAGGCCTCGAATCAAACCACTTCAAGGGCTTCCTTCTGGAACCTTCCATTTGTGTGGTGGGTGAAGCCACTTGGAAGAGAAAGTGTCGGCAGGCTCCCTGGTTCTCCCCCCTAATCCACCTGCCTTTGCTCACACCCCACCTCCCAGCCCGCCCACCTGCCTTCCCCCTTGCTGGTTATTTCTGTCCCAGCAGCCTCCTGTGTCAGCAAGGGATCCAAAAGGCCCGAGAGCCATGAGTTCTGGGTCCAGCTCAGCCCTCAAGGCAACCCCTGTGGCTGGGTCCTCCCTGGACTTCTGTGTTCCCACTGACAAACAGCACAGTCATCCTATGCCTGGCAAGAACCAGGCTGTAGCCATAGCAAAGACACACAGGATGGCTTCCCCAGAGTGGAGTGGAATTTTTACGAGCGCCCCACCCAGGCATCTCAGGACAACCCTGGGCTCTCAGTGGATGTAGTTGTGCCCTGTCTGTCTTTGTTCCTGGGGGGCCGGTGAGCGAGGGGCCAGGCTGTATACCCTGTGCTGCCGAAGGAGAGCGTCAGACCGCGGATTGGGGACCTGAGGGGCAGGCCAGAGGCTGCTCCCAGCAGTAGGAAGGCCCTAGGCAAGCCACCTCATCCCTTCTGAGTCTCAGTTTCTTCATCTGAGAAAAGGAGATGACAATGCCAGGCACACTCACGTGCACGCGGCCACCTGTGGGAGCCAAGTCAGAGTCAAAGGCCAGGATGGGGAGGGAGTGGAGGGACACAGGGGCCAATGTCAAGACTGCAGTAAGAGCTACCACTGGGAGCTGAGTACTTCTAGGGCCTGGCACCAGGGAGTGCTCCTTGGTGCTCATGAGTGGAAGCAGAGTCCTCATCAAGGCATCCCACCGGGCGCCCAAGTCACAGCCTACATACCTGGCTACTGCAAGTGTAAGAGCCTCCTGGAGTACCAGGCCCCAGCCAGAAGCCCCTTCCCAGAGCCACAGAAGGCTGGAGGATGCCTGCTGGGTCCAACATGCCGGAGGGTGGGGCTCAGCCTCCTGCTGGGCTGGCCCAGGCCAAGTTTAGACTTAATGCGGTTGGTTGACAAGACCTCTGGAGGGCAAAGTCCTTGGGTAGCCGTGAGCAGAGGAAGGCCAGGCAGAGGAAGTCCAGAAAGGCAGGACAAGGGTGTATCTCTCCAGAGAACACCAGATGTGGGTGTGCTTCTCAGGGAAAGTCAGGCATGGGTGTACCTCCCTAGGAAGGCCAGACATGTGTGTATCGCCCCAGGGAAGGCCAGGCATGGTGTACATAATCGAGGAAGGTCAGACATGGGGGTACCTCCCCAGGAAATGTCAGACATGAGTGTACCTCCCGAGGGAATATCCTCGCGTGGGTGTACCTCACATGGAAGGATGGCCAGTAGCTTGCCCTGCTTAGCTCAGAGTAGGTGTATTGCCTGGATGTCACAATTCTTTTTCTCTCTTTTTTTTTTGGTGCCATGCCTCAAAAGAATACCACAATTTATGAGCGAGCAAATAGCCAGCACGATGGAGGAAGATCGTGGGGAAAGGGGAAGAAGTTGCCAGATCAAATGCAGCATACCCAGTTAATTTGCATTTCAGGTGGACAAGAGCAACTTTTCTCAGTATAAATATGTCTCATGCAATATTTGGGACATAACCGTACTACAATTTACAAGTTGTTTATCTGATATTTTAATTTAGCAGGGTTCCTTTTTTTTGTTGTGTTCTTACTCTCTCACCCAGGTTGGAGTGCAGTGGCAGGATCAGGGCTCACTGCCTCAACTCCCTGGACCAGGAGATCCTCCCACCACAACCTCCCAAATAGCTGGGACTACAGGCACATGCTACCATGACCAGCTAATTTTTCTAATTCTTTCTTTTTCTTTCTTTCTTTCTTTCTTTCTTTCTTTCTTTCTCTCTTCCTTTCTTTCGTCGTGGTGATGAGATCTCGCTATGTTGCCCAGGCTGGTCTTGAACCCCTGGGCTCAGGGTTTGGAGTCTGGCAACCTTTGGGGCGGGAGTCTCTGTGTAGAACCCTACAGCCCTCCAAGACCCACTCACCGGAGAAGAACTGGCTGATGGAGGTGGGCAGGAGTGTCAGGAAGGCAAGCGGGTGGGCGAAGGAGATGGAGAGCACAGCAGAGATGTAGGCCACGCCGGCCACCGTGGAGTAGAGGCAGGCCAGCGAGGTGTACAGGCAGAACAGGACGAAGTTCCGCATGTTCCTGCTGCCGATGCAGTTGCCGGTGAAGAAGCAGTGGTGGTCATGCCTCAGGGTGACCCTGGCGCACACGCGACAGAAGTGGGTGCTGGGGGCGGGGCACGGGTCCCTCCCAGCCAGGGTCCCCTGGCAGGCACCCAGGTCGTCCGGGGAGTTCTGGATGACCAGGACATAGTTGCCCAGGGCGTTGGCCGACAGGAAGAGGAAGAAGGCCCCATGGAGCAGGGCAGGCGAGACGAGCCGGGCGGCCGCGGGGTCCTCGTGCATGCTGGGCAGGAAGAGAAACAGCTGCAGCACGAAGGTCACCAGCGAGATGCCCAAGAAGTAGGCGGGGGCCACCACGTTAAGCAGCCGCAGGGCCAGCATCCTCGATTACATTCCTGCCGGCCGGGGGAGAGGAGAGGGCTCACTGCAGGGCTCAGGGGGGTAGGAGGTGGGGGAGAGGGGCTGGGGG